CACGCATGGAATAATTTTTATTGATAAAGGCTACATATAATTCTTTAGAAAAAGAAATTTGTTGTAATGGAATAATTGTTATGAAATTTAAAATTCAATTGCTCGAAAACTGGCGATCGCCGCGATTTTTGATCACTACTGAAAAAGCATTCGCGTGTAATTTCATGCGTAATTCGCCGATAAGGTCTACGACTCGTCATACAGGAAGGTATTGCACGATCCGTTTAGTATAATCCGTTTTACAAGTTTTATCCCGCGTTTATTCGTTTTCACATTTCAGTAATTCTATTGGCGATTGTGAAATTCCTTTAGAACAACATTTCACATCGCGCGCACACACGCGGGCGATTTATTAGCCAACTGCATACCAACGTGAGGATCCACGTAATTTCATCACGATATAAAATTATGTTTTATCTTTGCATTAACAATGCATAATGCAAGCTTTTGTTTAACGCTAAATAATTTATAAATCAATAAGTGAATTCTCTTCATACGAACTGTTTCGATACATTTTTCGATCTTCCATAATTTCACAAATTATCGCGCGAATATATATTAAATCGACATATATGCGATAAAATTGTTCAGTATACGTCTGCCATTTCTATTGCCATCCTTGGCGTCACGCGTACGCGAAGATGAGAAATTTCGCAGATACTTCGCGAGTACGTCGCCGACGGAAATTACTTATTATGCCCGCGAGAGTTGCGCGGAACATCCGGCGACGGGAAGCGAATGGCGATGACGATCGGCGTTAGGACCTGGCAGATACCCTGTTCCCTCTCTTTCCGAACCTTCCCTGACTTCTTCGTTCCCCGTTAACGGCTAACAATCCCTCGGCGCGAGCCGCTGGAACAATGGAAACAATACAGTGATATGAGAAAGCCGGTTTGCATTGTCGGACAAACCACCGACAGGGCGCCTCATTTTCTCTCCTTCGCGCGCCCCTCCTCTTTTCCACCCCATCCGTTTGCATATCCACCATTCGCTTCGATCCACGGGTACATCCACCATCCATCCGTTCTCTCCGTTCTTCCCGTTCTGATCTCCTATCTTACTTTGTGCTATCCAATACCGCACAGCCGCGCGCGCGTTTCGTCTGTCTCCGCCACGCGTGGATATCCCGCGGACTTAACTTTTCCTTTCGTCCTTCTCTTCGCCGTTCTTCTTCGAACTGCGTGGAAAGAATCGTACGCCGGTGAATGGCCGTTGATTCCGGAGCGGAGACTGCTCCGTTCGACGCTTCTTCCGCCCTTTGTATGCGCGTCAGCACCACTAAGGGGCTTTACCCTCTCATCTCTCATCGGCAATTAGTCAGCGATGCTGACTAAGTTCGCCGGTTCGCTATTAGTTACGCTGACTTTTCGAAATCACGAAGGATGAAACGATTATTCTTCGTGTTACTCGCTGGAAAAGTTTTTAGTCTACGCAAACGGTTAAAAAAATATAATGATACGTTGTCCAAAACCCCTGGGATATTCAATATTTTATTTAAACGGGAAAAAGCCTGTGTAGGCTTGAGATAAATATTTAAAATATTGGAAATGGAGAATTATAGATATAACATGGATATACTTTTGATAAATAAGAAACGCATAAATGTTCTCTTTGTAGAAACATTTATTTTAATGACACAATTTCACATAAACGATTCCGAATAAATCGAGATGTACGATCGATCAAACTCTTGCTTAACCCCTTCGCTGTCAATGTCGTGTATACACGTCATTGACAAGGTGGGCTCAAACTGCGAATGACGTGTATATACGTCATGATGAAATAAATGTAGAATGCTCCGGACATTTTTAGTCCACTTTGTGATTTTCGTCCAAACAGTGAAGGGGTTAATATATCCACATACGTATAAAGTTGCACGTCTTTTACGAACAGTAGGAAAAATATTGTTTAATTTCTCCATTTTTATCTTAATCTTCACGCGAAATTATCTACATAAAAATTTTATTCGTTAAATGTTAAATAAGAATGCAATATCACCAAGTTACTGCAATTGCGTTCCGCGAGACATCTGAAAGAAAACCGTCGTCCGCTTCTTTTAGAAATTTTAGTCGTTGAATGTTAAATAAGAATACATACAATATCACCAAGTTACTACAATTGCGTTCCGCGTGACATCTGAAAGGAAACCATCGCCCGCTTCTTATCGAACATTCTAATTGACAACTGCGTTGTTCCACGAAAGGACACACCGAACAGAACGTGAATAAAAGCGGGCACTTGAGGCAACTTAAAGGGGATGCGGATTCTCGGATGGATGTTGACACAAAACATTATACGGTCGGTCGTCGCGCCCTCGGTCTCGTCTCGTCTCGTCTCTTCAACACGGTTGCCGGCTAAGAAGCACAAGTAGGCGTCTTCGGTGGTACGCTCATGATGACGTCGAGGGTTGACATGGTGTTACGCTTCTAGTTTGCCCGACGTATCGCTTACGACAGCCGGCCTGGCGATCGTGTTCTCTCCCTCCTTCTCTGTCCCTCTTTTCCTCTCATGGGTCCCGCCGAGTGCCTCTAGAGTGGGTGTGTAGTTGAGTACGTGCCAGAGTAGATGCAACCCTTAGCTACGCATTCGCCCGTCCCTCCACACTCGCCGTCCATTGTTTAGCTATTTCGATGAGCCAACGTATTTCGAGCGCGTTCAACACGGCTCAATCTTCGATCTATTTCCGCAATCTGGCTTCGTCACGTAATCAGATAAAAAGGTAGGATTTTGCAAATTTCGCGAAGTTTTACATACCGGAGAAACGTCAGATCGATGAAATATCACGAAGTTACGAGAACGCATATCCATCAATGTGGGTACAAGTATAAAATAAAAAACAAGCTGACGCGATTAATCTTTCTGATATGACGCTCCTGTTACGTTCGTAATCCAATCTGATTCAAGAAGAGACCCGGGATCAGAGACCCGAGATCGTATTTCTGATGTATACGCCGCCGCAATCGGGGAATCCCCGGGTATAACGATCGAATCGCAAGACGGCCGACGTATGTCAAATGGTTGTACGAACAGCGGTGGAATTATAACGCGAACCGTAGGAACTCGTGGAAGATGAAGAGTTAACTTTTTATGCAGGACGCCTTCCCTCCCCGCTCTTCCCTCCGCGGGGAAATGATTACGGAGTTCGGGGTGAATGTAGGTCGCAAGATATATATCCAATCGCAGGTCCGCAATGCACTGGTTATCCGGGCGATGGTGGAGTGCGCCCAATGTTAAGATTCGAAACTCCGTCGGCTAGTCGGCTTTGAAGAAAGAGGAACGGAGAGAGAAACGGAGGGAAACGAGGAAAAAGGAAAGAGAGAAAGAGAGAGAGAGAAAGAGAGAAAGAAAGAGGGAGAGGGAAGGAGCGAGAGAGAAGTAGAAGAAGAGAGGGTAAGGCAGGAAGTAAATCTTTGCCGGGTACTACAGCTTTTATAGGAGAGAGTCCGCGATTTTCTTTTTCGAGAAAACGATAACTTTCCGGATTCGAACGTGCACGTCCGAGAGACGACGCCACGAGGATGGGGAATCCGCCGGGCTACTAGAAACGTTGCCTTGGCTTATGGGAGATAAGTAATCAAGATTTAAGCTCGCGCCAGGCTTGGTGTAAGGGAGGGAATTGCCAACGTAAGCGCTCATCGGAGACTCGGCCAAAACAACTTCCGACGTCGCTACTTTCAGGCTCTATTCGGCTACTGAGAGAGAGAGAGAGAGTACCTTGGACTCGAGCCTGCGCCACGCAGATAAAAGCACGTAGTTTTAGCGAAGGCAACCTCGCAAGCTGTCTAACCGTGTGTACTTTGACTTGTAAATTTATAGTTTAGCGTACACACAGGCCGATAATATCAGGTTGATAATTTATTTCGTAACTGCGACTTGCGGGACGTGATCGTAATTTCTTTTTCGCATAATGCCTGATGGCACTCGTGTAATTTATTTTCAAGTTTCGCACACGTCGAAACTTTATACGCTCGGAAACGCTAAATTCCTAAAACGCGCGTCCTTTGACGAGCATCGATCGCGATTTCGTTCGGGTACGGCCACACACGGAAACGCGCCGCGGGCGCGCGCGTCATTCGTTGCACGTTCTGCAACGTGCGGATAGTCCCGCACTTGGTCGGGCCAGCAGCTTCCAGATGAGCAATGCTGGACGGAATGCGGAATACATCGGGAGCGGAGAGAGAGAGAACCGGCATTCCTACTTAAATCAACATAACTCGGGTGATGAATGGTTAACAGGCTTCGGCGGGTGGGAGGAGGGGCGACGAGGGAGAGAGACGTGCAATGCGCTCCATTTATGGAAGCTATTACGGCCGAATTTCAGCGTTAAATGTATGATTTATGGCCGGGCGTATTATCTTCGTTCATGTCCGTCGACGATACAGTGCACGTCCCACCGCCGCTCCCCTTCTCTCTCTCTCTCTCTCTCGCGGTGTTGACTCTCTCACTCTCCCCTCTTCCCTCCCCCGTTTAGAAAATTACTTCGCATTCGGCCGGTGGTGAACGAAAAATTCACCGCCGGAGTGTCCATTCGTTGACGCTGCCGCGTGATTAATGCGTTTCTGATTGTTATTCGTAATACTCTAGAATTTATGGCGCATTAGAATCGCGAAATAAAGCGCGACCGTGTGCGAACACGCGCGCGCTAGATGCCGGATCGAAATCGTTTTGTCCGCGCAGAAATTCGCGCGGACAATTTTCAGTTTCGAGTTTCGGACAATTTTTCCAGGAATTCGCGAGAGAGCGCGACGCCGCGCCGGTAATGGAAATTTTAAGCGTATTTAAAGTTGTATGGCGCCGCGGCGATGCGAAATGAATAATGAAAAGGAAAGGCGGAAGGCAGATCCGCAGATATCCGCGAAATATGTACAGTGAGCTGCCAGGGGGAGGGGGGAGGGAAATAGGGAGCCGTAATCTTAATTGAATATAGTTAAGCCGCTTTGCGTTCTACCGTTAATACATATCTGACGTCTTTCGTCCTGTTCCCCCCTCTTTCTGAGAAGCAGGTACCAGCGACGCCTCCTACGAGACGCAGGGACCCAGCTTCGTGACGGAGCCGCCGTCCAGGGTGGAGTTCACCAACGCGAACGGCGGCCGGGTGGACTGCACGGTGCGGGGTAACCCGCTGCCGACCGTCGACTGGCTCGCGGCGGACGGCGGCAGTATAACGAACATCCTCGGTATCAGGCACGTCCTCGGCAACGGGACGATACACTTCCCCGCGTTCGAGGCCGAGGCCTTCCGGCAGGACGTCCACTGGGCCATTTACAAGTGCTCCGCCGTCAACAGTGTCGGCGCGGTCGTTAGCAGAGACGTCACCGTCAGAGCAGGTATGTGTCAACCGAGCGAAACTTGCCAAGCTCGTTATCTGCGGTCCGCTTCTCCGCATTATTCTCGCGTTTCTCTCCCCAATATCGTGTCCCCGTCCTCGTATCCTACGTGGTTCGTGAAGACGGGGGGCCAACCTCGTGAGTGACGCGTGCGCGCGGTGTCTCTATCCGCGAACGGACTCGCGTTCTCACGGCCCACGGATTCGATCGTCTCCTCTGGTCCTCTGGTCCCCCGGCCGACGAGATGAAATTTCCTTCTCGCGTACGTTTATACATATATTGTATTTGAACTGTAATCGACAAGCTAAGTAACGGGGCTGTCTCTCCGTCGCGGCGGGATCTACAGGATAATGGAATTACCAGATACCGAAATCGCAGCTTTTAGTTATACTATATTGAAAGAAAGGAGAAAACCTTGGAAGACGTCACTCTGAATTACTCGGATGCCGTGTGTTAAGAATTGTTACAATTTATCACATCAGACATCGATGAATTAAATAAGAGAGAGTTTTCGCGTTACAATCTAGAGTGATAATCGAATAACTTAGCTAACTATTGATTTCCAGTTTGTATTTATTTAAAAATATGTATTTTTCTTATAACTTGAGGTTTCGCGAGTTAATGAGTTAAGTAAATTGCTGCGTTTGACAATTTAAATAAAAAGATCTCGACTTCCCGGAAGAGTCTGTTTTGATTTAAACGAATAAGTGATTGGAATTTTTAATATTGCATTAATTTTTAATATTCTCTTTAATATTCTCTTACTCTATTTTTTACTCTACATGAGAAAATATTTATGCACAAAAGAATCTTCCATAGTTTATTCGCTTCGCGAGGAAAATATCGGTTTCGCGGGCATTAGCCAGATAAAATATTAGAAATCTCGTGTTGGGCAGCCAGGGTACTTAGTCACTGAAATCACGTTATAGGAAGGGAGAATCCGTCTACGGATTCTTTTTGCTCGACGACGCGATACCTTCCAAAACTCGCGTCTACAAGAGTATCGAAGTAGAAGACGGCGAGAAAAGAGAAAGAAGGCAGGGACGGGTAAATGGAGTAAAAGGAGGCCGCGAGGCGCCTTAAAAATAGGAGCTTCCGCCGGGTCAACGAACCGGAAGATATCTTATCGACCTAATACGCCCGTAAATCATCGTCGCGTGAACGCAGCCCATACCTTTTCAGATTCATGCCTGGTGCCTCTGCCGCGTCAGCTCCTAGTATCCGCCTCAGCCATTTTCTTTTTGCTCATCTCCTTCACGGTCTTATCCTGCCTTTTCCCTCGCCTTCCTTCCTTCCCGCCCGCGCGCCGCTTCGCTTCCGCGCCCGGCTTCAGCTAGCGCTTCCTTCCGTCCTCCGAGAAAAATCTTTCGGCTGCGCGCGCTCTCTATTCTTGGAAACAAAATGGATATGATTGCGTGCGCGATCGCTCGAGCACGTTGCTGGTTGCCGCCGGAAATGTCGCCTTCTTCGTTTTTCCTTATACCACCTCGGCAGCTGCCGTATGTAATCGCGACGCTTTGTCAAAAAAAATGGAGAGAGAAAGGGGAGGATACCCCTGTCATGTGGGGTTACTTTGTCTCCGTAAGAAAGAAAACTTTCCGCCGCCGTTAAAGAAAGCTTCCTCCAAAGGAATTAGTTTTTAAAGAAGCAGTTTATGAGTCTTCTTTCCACTTTCGCGCGAGAACCTCGTGGTTATTTATCTCGATTATTTTTTCTGGCGGACTGAAAGATTCTAATGACGATACATTACGTTCATTGTGTTCCGGTACGTGGGATCCGACCAAAACACTTTCCCGTGGGAGCAGCTTCCATCATTCAGTATTTTCCCGCAGAGTTACGAGACAAACAAGCCATTAGTCTCTGGGTTACTTGACATATTTCATCATCGATCCTGAACGATGTCCCGAAACGATGTAAGACGAACGATATAAGAGATGACAAGAGATGGCAGAAAATAAACCGCCAGGGCATCATTTGCGAGAAAGTTCAAGCTCGAGCTTGTTGAGGAATATGTGCTACTCTCTATGACATGACTTGGTATATGCACAATAAGCTGACAAGGTATAGAAAGAGATCCGATCTAGTCTGCACTGGCGAGGATAACGAGACCGGATAACAAATACTTACCGTTTTGCGGACACTAGGCGTTCGCGCTCGCTGTTTGTCCGTTTTCCACCACGTCCGCGTTCGCCTCGGAGGCGAACTGAATTTCGTATTCAGCTCAAACGATACCGGAACTTATTTATTTCGCAGGAACGAACGAAATGGACGCGACTTGAGAAACACGTTATGTATACCTCGAAAATTCGGCAACCGTTGTTCTCCGTACGCTCGACCGATATGCATGATAGCCGAGCACGAAGCGAGCGCGCGTTACACGGCATTACCTCGCGTATATACGGACGTGTGTACGATGTGCCTCCTTATACCGAGAAAATGAGTAAGTTTAACAACCGTATACTAGACTCTTTTATAAAAACTACATGTAGGAACCGCGTCGCTCACTTTTACGAGACGGACATTCACGTTTTCAACCCCCGGCTCGTGTCTCTCAGCTTAGCAGCTTATAAGTTTAAAGATAACTCGGAAGTACGTCGGCGTGGGGTTTCTTTAAATTTTATATAAAATTATTACTCGGTGTTAAATTATATATTCTTTAACTCGTTACTTATTGAAGTAGAATCTAAAGGTATTTATTGTAGAATTATATAATCGAAAGAAAGCTATTACAATATTTATTTTAGGAACAGTCCGTGATTTATATATATACGATGTATAAGTTCTTGTTTCGTTTATTCTGACTTAATTACATTTTTTATTCTTTAAAAGCGCGCGTGCATGCACACATATACGCGGAAACATATACGTATCTGACATTATTATCCGCACTCTCGAGTTTAAAACATCGCTACTCGTCAGATTTGTCGTCGGGTAATCACGTCCCCTCACGAGAGGGGTCCTCCGATACTTTTGCATAAAATCCAACTTGTCGAAAAAGCGCGGTTTTCGTTTCTAGTGGATGATTCGCAGAGAGAGGACGGATGCGTGCTCTGATGGAAAGCTCTGGTCGACGTCGCTGCTCTTGCGCGCGGCATCTTCCTCTCTGTCTTTCGCTCTTTGATTCCCTTCGTCCTCTATCTCCTCTTTACGTCCCTCCCTCCCCCCTGTTCCCTTCTACTATCTCTTCTCTCTGCTCGTTTCATGCTTTGTAAATATTACCTGCCACGAGACGTCTGCCGAGTTTATGTTCGGCTTGGTTGCCGCGTAACCGAGAGAGCCGAACGAGCGATACGCGGGGAAAGCTAGAAAGGGATGGCTGCCGAGGGAAAGGCAACCAGAAAGGGACGAAAAGAGAGAGAGAGAGAGAAAATGGTAGCGTGCGCAGGAGTCGAGTGAGGGGATAGAGCGAGCACGAGAAGGTGGATGGAGTACGGGCAAACTCACTGAGTTTTTACCCCATTCTGAAGTCTGAGTGCCTCGCTCCGCTGACTCTCGAAACGGGTTGCGGAGGCAGAGAGAGAACCCCAACGCACCACCACACCACAGCGATTCCCTGGCTGCCGCCACCACCATCGTCCGCTTTTCTATCCTCTTTCACCTTCTTTCGTTATTTCTCCTTCTTTCTCTCCACTTCTCTCTCTCTTTCTTTCTCTTTCTCTCTCTTTCAGACTCCTGCCTGGCTGCCTGACTGCCTTCCATGTTCTTTACAACCTTATTCCATCTCCCTCTTAGACATGCCCTTACCAACCTTTCAGCCGAGCCCATCAACTTACGTGGGCTGCCGGGTGAGGGGCGGATCGCGACATGAGATTTTGGATAAGACCACCGCCTTTTGGGATTTTCTACTCTGTCCATATTGTGCTGCCTCGTTTCTATCAAGCCCATACGAGCGCTCTCGTTAGCGCGCAAAAGTCGGCAGGGCAAAAATGAAGGCGGTTTAAACGCGGGGGATGATGTGATTTACTCAAAGAAACTCGCGTTACGTCATGTTTCCCCGTGAATTGCGCTCTCTCGCGAGTTTTTTTCAGCTGATCATTGACGCGGACACACAAATAACTTTTTTGTAAACCATGCACGAAGTTTCTCTAACACGGATTACGTTAAATTATTCGCGCGATGTAAAAGATTTAATCGTAAAAATATAGTGGTATAAAGAAAGCGTGTTCGCTCTTTTTTATCTTTTTATTTACCTAGCAGAGAAATGAAAATGAATAAAAGCGCATAGTAAATCTGCATAATTTAACATACACATGATGATCGTTCCCGCGGCGTTTTCTCCGCGGCGTCGAATATTCCGCCATTGTTCATCCCCTTGTGTTCCATTATTTTGCACAATTATTAAATTTCTATCAAATTAACGAAGGCTATTTGTTACTCATTTTATTAATTGATAGTGTAAATTCGACATGCGGATACGCGCAGTAAATGTAACGCGTGTTTACCCGCAAACATGCGTTAAACAGATCATTAAGTGTACAGAGGACAAGGGGAATAAAATTACGCATGTCCGCGCATACATTTATGAGAGCTCTCTAATTAGAAGCGGCGTCGAACGTTGTTCAAAACGTGGCAAACTGTTCCGCGTTGTGCCGTTTCGGTTCTTATCGGCGAACGTGTATCAAAAGCGAATTGTAACACCCCTCGCTGCGGCCGCGCGGCAGCGCCATTAGCATTTGCGTTATAGTTCTTATAGTCCCCGGAACCGTGGTATATGGACCGGGGAGAGAGTGGAACTTATCGTTACGTGTTGCAGTGGTAAACCAACGTTACGATCCGGAAGTGCAAAATCCCAGCGGGTTCCCCGGCAACAACGTGCTCATGCGCTGCATCGTGCCCAGTTTTGTTCGCGACCACGTCACGGTCACGTCTTGGCTTCAAGAACCGGTCTTCAATATTTACCCCTCCACAATGGGCGGTGAGTATAATTTAAAAGAAATAAGAAAACGGACATACGGGTAGCGGGCTTTTCAATGCGAACCAGCGTGGGTAATTGCTCTAAAATAACAGATATGGAATTATTATATTTAACATGAAATAGGAGGAATCGAATTATTCTAAAATTACAGTTGCCTTTTGTCATATACGTATAATAGGTATTGTCGCAAATTAATTATATCGCTGGAAAACAGGAGTTATATTGCATGACGTCATCTACGTGCGCGCACGTATATATAAATAAACACGTAATTTCCTTCCGATCAATTTAGATTTCCATGATGATAGAAACGTAATTCAAACCTCCTCCTCCTCCTCCTCCTCCTCCTCCTCCTCCCCGACGCGTGTTGTTATAGATGGCAAATATCATATGCTGCCGACCGGCGAGTTGATGATAATCAATATTACGCGAAGCGACGCGCAGATGACGTATCGGTGCAGGACGCATCACCGGTTAACTCAGGACACCGTCGTCAGCAGCAATGTAGGGCGGCTGCAACTGACTGGTGAGTACGTCATAGATTTTTCTCCTTGTACACCCGGGGCAGGGGGGGGCGCCCGCTTGCATCACGTTGCTCTGTAAGGGCGGATTTCTTGACCAATTTAGCCAGTTTTTCCGTAGTTGAAAATATATCAGAGTTATCAGAGTGTCGTTTATCATTAAATTACATCAAATTGCTGTTTATACATATCTAAACCGCAATTTATCAAATAATCAGAATTATATATGTTAATTAAAAATCAGTCAATTTGATTTGCGAGCGTCAAATTTAAAATTAAAATTTTATTAAAGCGATATTTGCCGGAAAAATTAATAAATTTTAATTATATAGAAGATTGTTTTGTTACTCCTTTGGTTATTATTTTCAATTAGTCTCTCCTGCGAAGCTTATTTCGGAAGAAACTTTTTATTTTCTATCGCTAATTACTCGAGAACAATAGGTAGTTCGATACCTTCCTCGAGGAAAAATTGGTTCTGAATTAGTCGATGAAATTGTTATTAAAACACAATACGCTAAAAAGCCCGGATACTACCACAGATACAATCTTATTATCCTTATTATCTAACTATCTCGATTCAGGATTAATTGGACGGCGCGGGAAATGGGAACGATCCCTATTCTCTGTCGTATCCATCATTTCACAAAGATGAATTTATTTCGACAATTATTAAATTTTTCGAAAACGTAAACAGAGCCGGAGCCTTGGATATCCGTTGCGCTTGTCGAACGGTAAATTCCCGTTCCGCCTCGAGCTGAACGTATAGCGGACGTATGGCGGAGTTTAATTAAATGTTTACTTTACCTGCACCCGATTCGATCGATACCGCGGCAATTATATTTCCCATTTTTTTCATTTGGAATGAAAGCAACCAAAGGAGAGCGGTGAAAAGAGAAAATTTGTCCCACAAATCGAGAACTCGATACATCTGCGTTATTGAAATTTTTAATAAAAGTAAAGTTTTGATGCGCTCTCGGCGACCAAACGCACGATTATACACGAATATTTATTTCTGTCACGTGTGTATATAAATATACCGGCCGACGTGAGTCGCCAGTTTAATTAATGTCCGATCAAAAGGGATCGTCAAGAATCAAGGCATCATCAAATAGAGTAGATAATTAATTCCAGGAAGCGTCCGTTCTCGTTTTTTACGCTCTCGCAATTTGTTCCCCTATCGTGTCGAGCACATTAACTCGGATCTTATCTCGCGATAGCTGGATGGTCGCCGGGGATAAAAGAAGATAAAAACAGTGCGTTTAACGGCATGGGAGCCCGGGGAGCCTCATCCGAGCGACTTCTTCGACAGCGGCGCGGTCGATGTTTAATTAGATAACTGTTAAAGAAACGATGACAGTATGGCGTTGCGTAAATTACGGGAGAAGCTGAATAAATGAGGGCGAGAGAGGGCGAGATAAGACGCGATCGCAGGCAGTTCTTCCCCCTCTCCCCCCCCCCCCCGAGCGGTCCCGCTAATGACGTTTCTCTTCTCCGTAGGATGTCACATCGCGTTCGAAATTAAGAGGAACTTTAATCGCATCCGCACGAACGCAAGGGGAAAGGCAAACTATTGTGCGCTTTATATACCTTACCTTTCCATTACCTTCGCGATACCATCGCCTTGTAAGCGATCTGGTAACCGTTGGCGTTCTCTTCGGGATTATTACAAATACATTATCTGTCTATTGTTCTTATTTAATGTACGCGATTGAATTTGATATGTCTCGTGTACCACGCGGAAAAATTGAAATAATGTTTATGATGGAATATTGATCGTGCTCTTTTACCGGGGTATCCTATCCTCATTGTGAAGTCTACTCGCCGTCTTCCTAGGCGATTCTAGATTTTCGAAACTACAAGTGGAGAAGGAAATGGGAGACAGGTAGAGATAGAGAGACATAGTGCACGTATGTGTGTGTGTGTGTGTTCGGAAACTTTAAAACTAGGAGAACCTCTCGTGATATCGCAAATTTTTCGAGGGACGTGCGACTTATTTAAAGTTTCTCCGCCAGGTTCGAACATAAAGCCGCCGTGATTTTATGCGTCCGCTTACTTTCTGCTCTTCTTCGCAGCAAAAGTCTTCCATGCTGTATTCGTGAAATCGCCTCGATGAGGACGCGCTCGGAATAACAACGTCGATTAATTAATTAATACGATTATTGCAAATTTCGGCAAGCTTCATCATACCGCGATTAAATAAACTATGTTTTTGTTGAAAGAGTTTGCCGATCGGAAATTAGCTCGGGCAATATGACACGATTTAACCAGATACGACATGTTTGAAATCCATATAATTAGCACCGCCGCCGCTTTGGTATATTTCTAATCACACAAATATTTCTGACAAACATCAATTAATTATCGCCGTAATTCGCTCATGGGTTAATTACCTCATGTATCATTCGACGGGTTGCCCGAATAAACGATATTCGCTGTGAAAGCCTAGCAGCAATACACAGGCGGGATAAATATTTGTTCGAAAGCGAGTCGCGCGTAGGAGGGAAACAAAGCAGAATTGACCTAAAAAAATATTACATCAACGATTAATTCCTCCAGGTCTCTGCGACATTTCCGAGTTTTGCGGCGCAAACAAAATAATATCAATTGTAATGACAATTACCGTCACATCAATATAATTATTCATGAAATAATATGATATCGCACAATAATAATAATGACACAATTTAAATTGCAACGTATCATCGTAATGACAATCGAACGGCGTTTCATAATTCGATGTTATCCTTGAGATGAGGTAAAACCGGGGAGGGTGAGGTGCGCGGGCGGGGGAAGGGATAGACGTTTGTGTGCCGCCGCATAATCAGGCAAGAAAAACCGATCCGACGTGCCTGGGCAAGAATATCTCGGCGGACGTTAAAAAATTCACGGGTTTCAATTTTCCAGAAACGTACGCGTTCGCGCTCGTGCACTCGTAATAAAGCCGGTATGCGCGCCGGCGCCGCCGGCCCCGGGCCCCGGCGTCGCGCCCTCTCGCCGGATATCTTCCGCCGTAAGATAGAAATTTATGCTAAGCGCACTTAGGTAGTTAATAACTTAATAATGAAGTTCGGGAGAAATTTGATCGTTTGCATATTTCGACGCGCGCGCCTTCGGACCGCGTCGGTATATTCCCCTCTAAATTAACCAAAATCTCGATGTACAGTAGTTTTCCCGGAGTAATGAGGAAACTTTTCGGCGCATTATCCGCGAGCGTGTAAATCCCAGCAGGAGTCCCGCCGAAAATTTAGAACTGGCGGTATAAAGTTAACGTTTATCGCGCAATTTCAAGAGACGTAATAACGCACGAATTGTGAAACGATTCCGGTATATACTGTTCGGCGATATATGAGCAGTGTCGCGGAGCCGACGTTACGTCTGTTCGATTAATTACAGATTTCGTTGCTTGAATTTTTCATGAACGTGTACTCTTACGAAGATATGTCGTCGAATCTCACAATTTTTTGATGTCGGAGTAGAATTTGTATTTCTGTTCAATTTTGAATGCTCGAGTTTTCATTTTTTTTCTAGAGATCTGCATCTTACATAATCGTTTAGATCGGTAAATTCTATTTTGCGAATTAAAAAACCGTCATTTTTTCGGAATTACACTGAAATGATAAGTATAATATTATTAATTAATTAGCACTGACACGAATTGTTATTATTCGCATTGACGTTTGCTATTAATTTTAATCGTATTGTGAAATTAAGCGCGGGGCCGGCGCACGCGTTTATCGTGCAAACGTATATCCCACGCAAACGATAGATGTTTTTGTCGCGACGTACAAGAGGTAGGTATGTATGAACGCTCCCGGCGAGTATTCGCCATCGCGTAATCCAGCGCATTAATTCCGCGTTAAATGTAACAGCACGTATGTGCGACGTTGTCCACACATCATTTGATCACGAAATAACACACGTGCCGAAGAGAGAAGGGCACTTGAGTATCTATGGACGAATCAATAAACCACGCTGCATTTCTACCGCAGATATGCGCCGGGGGTAGATTGAGTGGCTCGATTTTAACATGGCCACGCGAAATAAAAATACCTACATTCGTATAATTGGACAGATGGAATAACTGTAACGCGCGGGGCCGTTGCGTTGGCGCATTTGATGTGTCATTAACCGGCGGTGTGTGTCTTCATTTTCGCCGCGAACGCGCGTAACCACCGATACGGGTACGTTTAATTAATTATGAATTTTCATCCCGTGTAAGAAAATTCGAAATTTCGAGCGAGGCGAAATTACTGCAGTCGAAAGTATGCCGGGCGCGAATTAGGAACGCGAGCGATTTATTGCGGCAGTACAGTTTTGGCAGCGTGAAATTTTGTAATCGTATGCAAAAACTTAATTAACGAACGCGATTTAATTTTTATTAATTTTTTTAAATTACTCACGTTACTTTTGTGATTTCATTTCGAATATAATGGCAATCGCATATTCGTGTACATATGTTGCATACGAATTTTTTTTTTTTTACCGTTTTAATATACCTCAGCGCAGACTGATGTGGTTTTTCGAAAAAGAAGAAAAATTGTCACAAAATTTTTTTTTAGCGCGCCGCGCGAGCAACTCTCGTCGTAGGAATTCGCTGGACGTTGGCGTCCGAACGGAACGTTAACTTTTCCCGACGTTTTTGATAGCGCGTGACGTAATTTCAAATTCTCGCCAAAGCACGGAGATATATCGTCGTTATCTAACGTGGTTCCGCTTCATAGTGCGCGCCGTGTCGTAAGACGTGGCGTTATCTGCGACCATAACTTCCCATTAAACGTCACGCTGGATGCGTGCGCGCGGAGTCCTGCATTTTTTTTTCCTTCCCTTTCGCTTCCTCCGTGTCCCACCCATTTCTCGCCGTCCGAGGTCCCGCGCTTCCTTCCCACCCCGCGGACAGTAACGATTTATGAACATATTTTCCGCGTATCACACGGCAAACTTGGCCGGAATCGATCCCCCCCTGTATACGAGCAGCGGCGGATACCCAATATAGCGTCCCGCGATTTAATCTTCGATTTTACGCTATAATTGAATCTATACACGCCCGGCGCTTGTTTCTATTTCCAGAAATTCGAGGCTCCATGCCGCCTATAATAAATGAGAAGCTGGTGTACATGTCGGCTCGCTTGAAAGACACCGTCGTGATCCCCTGCGTGGCCTACGCCAACCCCACCCCGACTAACAGGTAAGGTTTTTTTTCCCCCTCCGACATAATTCAGTCGTACTTATTAACATTACTGTAGATTATTAAATTATTAATTTTATAGATTTAATATCGTTTATATATATTAATATATAGATCAATAAATTACGTGTAATTCTCAATTAAATTAAATTTATATTATTAACGAAGCGTTATATACAGCGTATATGTATAGTGGGACGGACGGGTCTTTCGCGTATATGCGTATGTACCGCGTACCGGATCTCCGGGTAGCGTACAGAAAGTTCATCCGGGCTATCAATTCCGCCCATAATTAGATTTTAAATCGCATTTTTCTCGCCGACCTCCTCGCGCATCTCGCTCCTCCTTTCTTATCCCCCTTCCTCGGGAAGAGGGGGACGGAAGAGGGGCACGCTTGCGTTACGCTCAGACACGCAATTAAACGGTAAGCAGGCGTTTACCCTCTGTACCGTACTCCGGCGATGATGTTAAGTAATCTGCATACAAAGTATACGGTACACTGCGCGCGCGAATTAAAGGCGATGCTTGAAGATTAACAGGGTTCGCTTCGCGAACGTCACACACGTCGCGAGATGCGAGATAGCGGTCATGAAATCCATATATAGCGCGACAGCCCGATGTGAATGGCAGTTAATAATGAAGAGCGACCGGTGACGTACACGATAAATATTGACGAGCCGATATTAGGGCGAAACTGTCGAGACACATAGACCGGATTTCCAATCGCGCTTCCGGTTTCGCAAGGATATATGAAGTTTAAAACCGACCATGAGCGAGAGTAAATTCCAAAGTTCACGTGCCAAAAGAATCCAAGTTCATTTTTCATTGACTCTATATTTAGGCAGAAAACGCGTGGTATAACTTCTCTGTGAGAAGTATCGTTAATGCCGTTCGAAGAGGAATTAAAGAAGGCAGGAAAATGTAGTTAATCGGATGAAAATTTATATAAAGAGCTTTTACCATTGTTACCATATAGAATCGAACTGTTCGACGGTCGAGATAAGGATAAAACTCATTATCTAAAATAATACTTGTAACAGAAAGTCAAACGCGTTTAACGGTGTTTTGCGCTATATATACGCTTTCGCGTTGTCGTGCCCGACAGCCGGGTGATGAGGAAATTGGAATCTTTGTACAAACAGACGGAGCACGCGAGCCACGGTGCTCATTCGCTACTAGACGCGCGCGCGTGTCTCTATTTTCCTTATATTAATGCTAATTTTAAACATAGATCCGCGGACGGAATATTTTGCGCGATATGAGCTCCACGCGCGCAGAAACGCCCACGCGGAGTTCATCGACATCGCGGACTTCCTATGGAAGGCCGGACCCGGGGCGAGAAGGTGAATCGAGGTGAACGAGAAAACAGTTACGGAACCGGAGGCGGGGGATTTTCTTCTTCTCCGCGCGCTCTGAGTATTAAATATTACGTTAACTCTCGCGAGAGATACCATCTCCTTCTCCCGCGCGTACCCGCTCGCGGATATATTACATTTATCCCACGAGAGGTACGAGAGGAGAAACGGCGGACGGGATAGAGGCAAGCGCGTTCGTCAGGACCGCGACTAACATCGACGCAACACCACCGGGGAAGCGACGAGAGGCTCTACGAAACTTGTTGCGTGGTGGGGGGAGCGTGTTATTACGGCGGATTACGCGATTAGCAACTAGTTTGGTCCCATCATTGATGCCGCGAGCACCGAGGATCGGCGCGGTATAATCAAACTCGCATCGAATGGGGAAACACACGGTTATCGCCGTGTCGCGCGGCGAGACGCGTTTAAATAATTACGAGCGAACAGACGAGAAACAGGCGAGAGACGCTTAAGAATCATGCTCGCGAGAGCTAGCGCTGCCTCGGATTTCCCATTTCGCTTCATCCTCTCGCTTATAGATTTTACAGGGAAATCCCTCCGCCTATCTATATCTCTTTCTCTCTTTCTCTCTCTCACTCGATCTCTCGCGCGCCGAAAATGTAAAATGAAAATTTCAAACGTCGCCGGCAGAACATATCGACGGAACTTTGATCGTGAAAATTTGTAGAATCGACGCGGATAGAGCGACGCGATTCAGGTTGGTGTGTACACGCGTGCGTGTGTGTATACACACGCGCGCGCGTGCGAGCCGCGTATAGAGCCGCCAATCTACGCGAGCGCGCGACGATAGTAGCCGGGGGGGATGAACGAAGATAGTCAGAAGATATATAGACGTCGGGAGGGCTGTATGGGTAGCGCAAACAAACCGACCGCTGATTACAGAGACTGCTTCTGACAGCCCATCAAATATTCCGCATTTACGTATACGTCGACGTCACTGAGTATTCCATGCTTGTGTTCATCAACCGCTCGCTTCCCCCTCACCCTGCCTTCTCCGGTCCTTCTCCGACCGCCCTCTTCTTCCACGTCGGCTCTCTTCTCCTCCTCCTCTTCTAGTCGTCTCTTCCGCAGGTTGATTTAGTCGACGGAAGAGAGTCGGAGAGGGGGGGAGGAGGAAAGCTAGAGAAGCTGAAGATAGGGATAAGGGATATAGAATGGGAAAGAGGAAGATGGAACGAAAGGAAGAGAGAGAGAGATAGAGAAGAAGAGGAGAAAGCTAAACAGGTGGAGAAGACAAGAGGATGGAGAAGACGAAGACAGAGAGAGGAAGAGAGTTTGAGGGTTCGTCGCGACGCGGCGGCTTCCATCTCTCCGGGTTCCCTCGCACTCGAGCATCTCCGTATCCCATCTCCTACCCTCGCCAATTTCCCTTCGTAAATTCGATTATCTATAGGTATACTCCTCATCCCTGTGGCTCCACTTCTGCCTCGCTGCCAACGCGGCCGCCATCTCTGCTCCCATCCTCTTCGGCCTCTTCCTCACCGTCATCATCCTCGTCCTCGTCGTCGTTGGCCTTCCATGTTCTCTCCCGGATGCGGAGTAAGCAAGACCCGGGACACTACGCTTTAGCGAATTTCTAAACCACGTGGGGCCGATCATCGTGTAAAAGCGAGAGAGAAGGAGAGAAAGGAAGAGGCTAAATCAAGAGGAGTTATTCTGCGCGCGCTGGAGGGACGAGGCCGGAGCTAATGGCGCGTTACGAGCAATCGCGGAAAGATGAACTGGCTCCATTCGGTCTCGATAAACTTCCCAAAGGGCGATAAGGGATCTCGAATTGGGATCGATTTGGATATTGGCGGTATTCGGATAACGGTATTCGATAACAGGGTATAATCTAATTTAATTAGGCTAATTTATTTGACACATTAAAAAATGAGGTTATACATGTTAATCGTTTCCAGGTGAAGACTTTATATCGTTAAAGAGCGACGTTTATATCCTTTATATCTTTCAACTTGTTTAATTGAAATACACCAAATTTAATTAGAATATTTATTCGAATTTGAATTTCATTTTTATGTAATATTTAAAAGCAAGTTTTTACATTATTAAAGAAACAACGTATTTTTAACTCATTTAATTAGAGCGCGGAGCGCATATGTTTGAAACATATTCGCGTTATATTAAAAATTCATGTCAATCTGGTTATACAAATACATATGCAAGTTCGTTAAATGGTCGACGCGAGCAGATTCAGATCGCAAAAATGGCGGCAGCTTGAAATTTTCATTAGTGACTTCGTTGCGGCACTGACATCGTATCGACGGGATTGATAAGATAATAGGGCGGAAAAAATGTCCCCGTCAAGATTTTATATACTTTCGTCGGAGCGCGTGAGCTTAGCCAATATATAAAATCCATCTCTCGCGCGTATTAAACTCAATGGTATATATACATACTATACATAATGTGCAAATAAGGAATCTCTTCAATATCGCTTAATGCCGCGTAATTAATCGTAAAAAAGTAGACTATTTCGTCCGGATCGACACGTTCTTGCGCGGACGTCGGTGCGCATTTCGCGTCGTACTGACCACCGATAAGGTCAAAGGTCGCGCGTGCTCGCCAAGGATCGATTTTGGATTATCTTGTTTGCCGAGGCTGGCTTAAATCAAGACAGCCGGGCACTCCGAATTTTCAATTAAGACGAACACCGAGAGCCGGCGAAGTTATGCGTGATCTCGTTTCGTGAAATTCGCGGAGGATCGATCCGCAACGGCGGAGCCGTTGCGCCATATACTCGCGTATAGTTATGCAATAGCAGCGTTACAGCGCGCGCCTCGGCCGGAAATCCTCGCGTTATCCCGAAAAGCGAGATACAAAGGCATTTGAATTCAGATCGGTCGATTCGTAAAAAGAAAAAGAAGAAAAGAAAAAAAACTTTGCGCTGTTGCTTTAACGCGACGACGCGCGTTCGCGATCGTCTGAATACTCTGAATAAATCGGCGGCGACCGAATATCATTAAAATACATGTTCTTCGGAAAGTGAACGTTTTGAATGCGTGCCAGGGCGTATCTCGTCGCGTCGTACAACACACGTGTATACACAAGCAGAAATACGGGAATATAGCCGCGCGCGATATATATGGACGTACAATAGCGGGGAAATGCATTCGGTCTTTCCCGATGAAACAATAGTTATTTTGTGGTAAGCGTGTGCGGCGGCGAGATACGGTTTCGGACAGGCAACGCGCGCGTACGATATTATACGTACGTACGTACGTACGTATTATACATATATGAACGTGTAACGCAACGTTTTCGAGATCTCGTCGGTTAGGTAACTACAATAATAACATCGTCGCTTTGACGAGCGCGGGAAATGGTAATTTGCATACGCATTCTGTTGAGAACGCGTACACATGAGCCGCGGTACACGATGCAAATGCAGAGTTTCTGCGAATGTCTGCCTACATCGTCGATGCTTTCACTGCGGGGCGGCGCGGCCGTCCGATAATGACGGGGTCCTTGGAATTGGATTCGAAATCGAAATATAACTATATATATATATATGTATACGGAGAATCCCCTGTTTCTGTTTTCTCTCGCGCAGATGGTACTACAACAGGAATCAAAGGGAGGAACCGATCGAGGAGTCGTCGGGCCATTACGTGGTGCGTGACGGCTCCTTGATCATCCAGAGCGTCGCGGAGAACGACGCCGGCTCCTACATGTGCACCGCCAGCAATTCCGAAGGCAGCGAAACTTTGGAGATCAGATTAACGGTGTCTGCACCGTTGAGCGTTCACGTACAGCCAACGATACAGACGGTCGATCTGGGGAAATCCGCCTATCTGGTAATCAATCATTATCGACACCGATTTATTTGGAAATAAATAAAGAGCCTGTCAACCCTCCGACACGTATAATCACGTAGGGACAAGTTGGACAGGGTAAACGGAAAAATAATATTTCGAGAAATCTAACACCGCGAAGAGCGAAAAAGATAAATTAATACTGTAGAGCCCCGAATATATATATCTGTACCTTAGAGCTAGAAAATCGTATCTCCACTTTTTGTCAAAATGAAGTTAATACATTTTTCAATATGACAGGAGCTTAAATTGTATACCTAATGATAAAGCGTCCTAAATGTCTATTTTTACTAGTTCGTAAGGTACAACGTTTAGAAGAAAACGTTTATTAAAAATTTTTATAGTGGCTAAATTTTTAAACCAGCTACAGCGCGTTATTGGCAGTTGAAATTACTTTATTAAAAACTCAATATTTTTCAAGCTGCTGCATTTTATATCTAAAAAAATTAACCATTTCTCTCTTTAAAACTTTAAACCGTATTTTCTCTAAATAATAATAGAAATACGATTCTTTATCTCTAAGATACAGATATATCTATACTCGAAAACGTTATTTTGAAGGCCACTTTAGACAATCTGTGATTTGCGTCAGATTTCAAGATAGAATTCCATATAAAATTTTTATGCCGTGCATTTCAATACATTTATTATATATCCTTATAGTCTGATTCTTCAACTGTCTCTCCTATTATAGATAGATCAATAACAGAACGTCTGAAGTCTTTACACATTCTAAGTTTAAGGATGCAAAAAACAGGCGACAGATCGCTTACAAATATCGAGCACTTCGATTACTGTTATATGAATATTTACCGCGGCGTTTTCAGTCGTCTGTAAATACCGTAAAGCGCTGTCGATGACGCGGGAAATGAATCTGTACGTGCCGGAAATTAATGCCAGTCGTGGTGCCGGGGGTGTGTGATTCGAATACATTTTCAGGAATATAGAGATCTGATTTTTCTCAAGAAGCTCCACGCCTTTGCGGATTCGAGACGAGACGGCATTCTTCCTCGTTTTTCCGCGTGCGCGCGAGCAAGCGCGCCGAGTCCCCCTTTCTTGATTCTCATCAGTTTCTTCCGTCTAAACTCCTTTGCAGACGTGCACCGCAAGTGGATTTCCGCAAGCGGCACTCTATTGGCTGAAGGACGGTCAGCCATTGAGAACGGGCGCCCGAGTAAGGACGGTCTCCAGCGAGCGCATTTCCGTGACGTCGGTCGCGAGGGAGGACCGCGGCATGTACCAGTGCTTCGTGCGGAACGAGTACGAAATGGCTCAAGGAATTGCGGAATTGCGCTTAGGGGGTAAGACATTCTGGACTTCGCGTTCCGGATGTACAATAGTATATACGTCGCGACGCCTTATCGTTTGGAAAGCCAAGTCCCATAGTCGTCGTGCCATCACTCGGAAACTCGAAAATCTTGAAATTATCACGAGAGGAACTATCTCGGTATCGAACTAAATATTAATTAACATTTACATTTTATGACTGAATTGTACACCAAAATTTAGGTAGCAAATCAATTCGAATTTCAAATAGTGTACAATTACCGTTAGAATGGTCGAGGCATTTTCAACGATTTTTAATTATTTATCCCCTCAATGAATCGCGAGTATTTTTATTCCGATAACACATTTTGTACATAGTATATTTAATTACAGCAAGCATTTATATTTTATCACGCTACAATTATTCGATTCGGGTGAAAGAAGGCTCCTTGTTTGCCAAACGTCCGACGAATGTTTCACTGTTGGTTAATATCGGTTGGTAGAACTCATACATTCCATTCCATGGCTCGCGTGCCATTTTATCGTAACGCATTCTCCATCGGGAGGCGGCCACGACTTCCCTGCAGGCTACGTGCCATTTTTGCGGGAAAGTGCCCTCATCGCTCTTCCGATTGTGCTTTACGGAGCGTGCTCCCATCTGTGGAACGATAATCGCGGTCTCGGTTTCGATTAACTCCGGTTGGGTTTCGTTTGCAGCAGCAGCAGCAACAGCAAAATCGCCAAATCGCATTACCTAACTTCAACAATTGTTTCTTATTACCTAATCTAGTCAGCACCCTGATTCTTACTTTATTTTAGAATTTTGTAAGTTGTAAATCTATATTTTAATAAAATAATTAAGGACCTCTCAATAATAATAAGAAACATAAAAGAAATTGGCAATAAGAGAGTCGACGCGGTATAATTAGTGCGTAATGTCAAAAGACAGATGTATTTGAATATTACAAGTTTCCGGACGTTTCGGCTCTTCTTCGAGCCATCCTCAGCGGTAAATCAGTTATAACCTCAGTAGTAAATCTATATTAAATAGGAATATTCAGCGATAAATTAGGTCGACCTTCGCTATCGCCATCGCGCAATCGAGAATCGTTGCTTAATAGCGGATAGAAACGCATGCATTTAACAATCTCTCGCTCGTGCATTTATTACGGAGGAAAAAAAAAGAGAATTCGAACGAGCGATCGCGTGTTTGGCGAACTTAATCAGAAACTTGGTTTGCCCGCGGTTTGAAAATGTTGGTTAACGGCTGCGGAACTCGCGGAACATGTGCGGAGGAGGGAAACGCCGCCGCTGCCTGTTTGCGCAGCGCGTTCCCTTCGTATAACGTATTTTCCATCGGCCGGTCGTTTCGCCGCGGGATACGTGCCATTTTTGTACGAAAATGGCCTCGTTTGCTCTCTAGCTCTCTCCCCCGTTCGCAAACCCGCACCCGATATGAGACCTCCACCGTCGGGCGCATCAATGTCCGATGGACAACCGCACGACTCGCGAATTTGCCCCGGGAATATAATAAAAGCGATTTACCATAGTTTTCGCCGATAACGTCGCGACCAAGCATCGAACGGATCACATGGGGTAACATATGACACGCGGAACACATCCAGTAACTTAGAGCGCGGTGTGTTTCATGTATAAAAAATAACTCTGCAATATATATATTTCCCCTGGAATTTTTCGTGAAAAAAGACCGAAGCGTAATTTGGACGTGGCGCATCTAAATTTACGCTTATTAATATCTAAATTACGTGTTAATTGCTGTTGTATGAAATTACATTACATTAATAATTACGTAGAGGCTACTGTTGTTAATTAAATGTTTAACAACGTATTTTGCATTTGTATCGGTAAACAGTGTTATTTTCAATTAGATTTCGAAATATAACTCCAACGCTGGGCTCTTCCCAGCTTTTAAGTTTTTATTTTATGCCATTTTCATTTCGCGAGAATATTGCCGCTGGCAAGGGAAAGCGTGCTGAGTTTCGTGCCGTTCTTACGAGCGATTTGTACATTTCTGGGGAAGTTCGTACGGGCTTTCGCGGCCATTAACCTTTATACGGCCGACATTTGGTAACTTTTATGACCTTTGAAAGTTTAAATTTTCTTTCAAAATCGCTTATAGCCTTGCGCTCGGCTGCCTCGTTCTCTCGTCGGAAACAAGCGTACCGATCTCCGGACGCGCCGTGTATACAGTTTGTTTCTTCCTCCGTCGTAATCCGAGTTCAGATATCACGCGCGAGCTAAATTACTACTTTCCTCCTGCCCTCTTATCCCTTAGTTTTCTCTTAGCTCTCGAGTAATTTTACCACTGAATTTCTCACTTCGGACCAAAAAAAGCGTCCAATAAAATAGTATTCTATTAGATCTAAGTTTTCAGACACGTTAAATCGAAACTGACCGGAAATTCAGTACGAGATAATTTATATGTATCGACATTCAGTAAACCTTATTTACTAACTAGTTCAGAAAAGATGGTTGATCTATCGTCAAAAATTGACGCAGTGCGGCACACCCACCAGGAAATCTCTCTTTTTAACGTGGCGGAGAAATACTTAATCGTCGCGAGGAATAGTTGTGCGCTAACGTCTGCATTACATCAGCAAAATGTCACGTAATCGCGCTATCCGTAGTAACGAAGCCCGTCGTCCCAGTTACGAGCGACGCCGGATAGAAAATTAGTAATTTACGTCGTCCAAGTTCGGAGCCGGGCGCCTATTACCTTGTCATTAGGATTCTTCCCGTCTCCATGATTTCTAAGCTGTAGAGGTATAGAGTGTACATTAGGTCGGGATCGCCCGCAGCACGATAGGATAGTTAGTACCTACTACCACTACCCCCTTCGGATTTGCATACGCTAACGAGATTTCTGCGGTTTTGCCGATGCTTTGCATGCTAGCCGCGCGCGATTTCGCGAAGCGAAGCGACGCGACGCGACCGACTACGTCTATTTATTATGCGTCATAGATACGTCCGGGGGATGAAAACCCAGGTTCCGCGCGGGAACATCTCGGCGAATTTGCGAATTTTACCGGCGCGGCGCGGCGGTTCCTGCCCCCGGGTGGAATTATGCGAACGTGATATCTTGTCTGTTACGATTTTAATGGCGTTCTCTCCCGTGCCGCGCCGGACGAGATTTACTTTGCCGAGCCCGCACTTGGGGAAACGCGAGGCAGTGCCTCGGAAGAATATATCGCTCATGCAAATCACGCTTTATCGTGTCGTTCCTTCAAAATGCTCATTGGCATTTCGCATAAACTTCAATGTGAGGTACGACTTCGTTGCGCGTACACTGCCGAAAGTTTCGTTGCCAACGAGCGCGTAACCGTTTTCCGGGTTTCGGCACGGTAACATTTCCTGAAATTTAGAGAAAACAAGCAGCGGCGCGGTGCCAACTAATATTAATTAGAGCGCAAGTAAAACATATTAATCTTCATAATTATGCGTCTCGGAAAAACATCCCTTTTTTAACATCATATTATTTCGGAGATTATACAGAGAGCGTAACAAGAACTCCATTATATGCGGAGAAAAAATCCCAGAGATACATTATTCGCAAAATTGAACCCGATGTGCAGTAATATGCTATTCAATCGTTTATTGAGATAATGGAAAATGCGATTGATGTTTCTCCTTGCTTGTAACTCTTACAGATATACGTAGAGTAAAATTGTGCTTTAATGCCGTCGAGGTTTTATTCAGTCTTTGTTTATGCAATGAGAGAGATTTTTGCCGCAATAACGTATATCATGATATTCGCGCGTTAAAGCGTGCCGCGATCTTAAACATTAATTTACAGTTTTTGCGGAACGTAAGATTTTTTCTTCTTCTGCGCGCGCGCCAAGAAAGCCGGCACAGCGAGACGGAATAATCAGTCGGCCTAATTGTTAATTTACTAATGGCGCTCCCCCGCGCAGTCTTTTAATTATACACAGGCAAACTGCGAGCCTGATATTTGCTCCGGCGAGTTTTCAACTTTTAACTATATCGAGTTAATCCGCGCTAAATAAATCCGCGCGACTTTTTTTCGCACGTTTCTCCGATAGAAATTATAATGAGGATGAGGATATGAACAAAGGGGGGGGGGAAAGAATATTGCATCTCCTTGCGCAAATTATACGCGACTCTCGTTTTGTTGGCATTCCCGTTGCAAAGAAGCGCATGTGCACAGAAATATCGTTCTTATCATAAATATTCATCGATATCGATATCAATAACGCCGACGGCGATGAAGGGATTCTCTTTGCGGATGAATACGAAAACTTCGGTAAAGTTGACGTTATCTCACGGCCGGTATTATATCCGCGCGAAGTTTACGAATTTATCATCGCGTCATTTTGGAAAACCGACGAAACTTTTAGCGGGGCCGCGTGTGCCGCTAAAAACGGCGCTTTATCTATTTATTTTGTTCACATACCGGACCTCGCAATCTGTCATAATACAATTTTTATCATTGTTACGAACTAATCGTTTAACGGTATTGTGCTTTCGATATTATTGATAAGGGATCGTTCACTAGTCACGTGGCTTTTCGTCTTTATTTAGACGATTTGTAAATCTCCGCGAAATCGACGCGATATTGCGACGACAATTGGCATAGTTTTTTATTTGGATTATTTTTAAATGGCTTTCACGATAGCCGACGAGAGATATCGTCAGGTCGCGAACTTAAATTCGTGATGGTTCGCTTTCACGTTGGACAATCGATTTGGACGTACGAATAAAAAAAAGGGGCAAAAAAAGCGTGGAAATATATGGACGCGGCTATACAGCGCGGGGCGTTAGACACGGGGAAAGGTGGCGGCGGGGGCGGGGGCCCCGAGGACAAAGGGGTAGCATTTGGAAACTTTGGGGATGGTACGCGTAATCTCATCCCCCTTGTAACGTCTGTTAACAGAGATCGCGCCGCAGCTGGTCTACAGATTCATCGAACAGACAATGCAGCCCGGTCCATCGGTTTCTCTGAAATGCAGCGCCGCGGGTAATCCCACGCCGCAAATTTCCTGGCTGCTAGATGGATTTCCGCTTCCACAAAACGACAGACTCCTGATTGGCCAATACGTGACCGTGTACGGGGACGTAATATCCCACGTTAATATCACGACGGTGAAGCCCGAAGACGGCGGCGAGTACGAGTGCATCGCCAGCAGCCGCGCCGGCGAGGCGAGGCACTCGGCGAGGCTCAATATCTACGGTGAGTCAGCGCGAAAGTCAAAAGTCAGCGCGCAGTCGGGGGGATACGGTTTTTCCGGCCGTAATTAGAAATACCGCGGGAGCCGTACGATTACGATTTCGATACGGTCGCGGACACGGCGTTAATTAACAATAATGATTTTTACTCGGTCCACCCGGTTAATTATAATCGTTATGACGTTTCGATATTTAATTAATTATTTATCTCGAACGAAAACGTTGCTTCATCCCTGCGTATCAGATTGAATATCAAATTCGGAGTTTTCGGCAAATCCAAAGGGATCAAAATAGTCATTCTCTTGCACGACATATTAAAAATTTGTTCTATATATGTTTTTTTTTTTATTTTCTACGCGACTTCGTTTCCCTGAAATCGAGAGAGAAAGAGCGGGACTAGATTTCCTGCTGGAAATTTATAACTTCATGCTGTTTCGCGTGGCTGCAGCGTAACGAGCTTTACTGCTTTCTAATCTCAGGACTGCCATACGTCAGACCGATGTCGCCCGTTTCAGCGGTCGCGGGGAAGCAACTATATATCAAGTGTCCTGTAGCCGGTTATCCCATCGAATCGATAGTGTGGGAGAAAGGTAAGCATCGTGCGTCATTTCTGTTAATCCCCCCCGACCGAATAACGGGGAGCTTCCACGTACGTTTATTCAATATTTCCATTGCGGCGAAAGGCACGTTAAAATCTGCTGTCGATCCTTCGCATCGATTGATAATCCTTTTCGTAACAGGCGTGCTATTGCAATTTATCGGCGAATTTCATCGGATTTATCTTCGTATTTTACATTTGCAAAATTAATTTATGCGACTAAGGATCGCGCGCCGGAAAATGCGAAATATTTGCAAATATTATTATCAAGTATCCCAAATATTCTCGAACGCGAGCGTGCCCCTTTAATCGATGCCGAAATAACGTTGTTATCAGGGGACGTAAAACTGCCTACCAACATGAGACAACGAGTCGCCAACGGCACGCTGTTCATCGATACCGTGCAACGCAGCGCCGACGAAGGCACGTATACATGCACTGCCAGAAACAAACATAATTTCACGTCGCATCGCTCGGTCGAAGTACGTGTTCTAGGTAAGTAAACGTAGCCAATAGTTTCCGCATAATTTCCCCCGCGATATTGAGCACCGGAATTTAAAGCGTTCGTAAAATTAGCATTCGAAAATGAAGAGATCGCTTCACGCGCGCGCGCGCGCCCGCGCGCTTGCGAAATGAAACGATATGGTCTCTTTGCTTTCCAAAGAGCGAAAAAAAAAGGTATTTCGCACTCTCGTTATTGAGATAATAATTTTTTATGACCGTACTTTTAATTGCGATACAATCCTCTATATATTTAATTAACGCAATTTTTATACAATATACGATGATTTCATTGCCCGATGACGTACACGTAAAATGTATAATGCCTATTTTTATCAAGCTGTACAGTTTTTCTGAAATAAGGATCGACGGCGAAAAACCTCGCGCGTAAGCTCTCAATGAAGATTCAGCTCAAAAAGTTTCGCTCTCATAATCTGTGTCGTTTTTGCAATTTGCCCCCGCGATGTCGAGACGCAATTATGGATATTATACTGGCGCACGTTAATATGCATTCTCCCTTTGTCGAACGTATTAAGCATCCATTGCCCGCGCGTCGCGCCCCATCCGACTGTGTGTATTAATTGTAGCCCGTTTATGCATAACACGCGCGGCATGCAACGTTTGACGCGCGCGTTGCCGAATTTATCTTTACATAATGTTTCTATTAGGTTCATCAAGCAAACTCTATGCGCGTTGTTTGACGTTGGGCAGGATTAATTAGCGCGGGACAACATCGGCCCCGAGACTTCGGTTTATCGCATTGCACATCATCGTCCATCGAAATACACGGTGTGCTTTTCGCATCGAAGATCCTATCGATTTATCGATCGCGCACGCGCGTGTGTGTTTGCAGCTCGCGAAATCGGAATGCCGAGCCGCGCGAAAATTAGGACGGAAAGTTTCGCGTTACCGAAGGAATATATAGTTCGACAATATTTTTTTTTTTTACGTATGAGGATCGCGGAGTGTAACGCAGTTACTCTCTTTCGATTTTGATTGACCATTTATTTCTATATCGCTCGGCAATTACGTCGTATAATTTGGAAAATAAAAAGTGAAAAGGGAGGATATACTGTTTAGGTTTCTGTGTCGAAATACGACGCACTGTGTGCAGTTTTTCAGCTCCGCCTCGCCCTGGACTCGAAGGCTTCCTCGAAATCGAGAGTGGATTCTTTCTCGAGAAGAACAATTTTATATGTATATGTATATACATTTCTTTTTTTTTTTATTGCAATACGAAACGCGCGCATTACGCACGTTATACAAATGTGATATATACATAACCCGCCCCGGAAATCGCGCTGAAATCAAATTAATTTTCATCAGCCGTTTGTTTTCGTTTAATATTTATAACATCGAATGTGTGTGAAACATTTCGGCAAAACACTGGTCGAGTTGCAGGTTGAAACACGATTGAATTAAATTGTCGTTTTGCGTTTCAAATAAAATTAGACGCGAATATTTCGCGCGAGATTGACGGATAGGAGCGTCATTCTTCTTCGTCGCCGCCCGCGGCGCGCTCCCTCGTCAAAGCGAATTCGCGCGATTTCCGGCGACGTTTCTTCCCCCCACCCCCCACGTGATACGCGTGGCGGGCGTATACGCCGCGCGTGCTGAAGACGTGTCCGGAAATGACCTATGCACAGAGAGCACAGCACCTCACTGCATCGCTCAAGCATTCCTCCTTTGCACGCGCTCGCCTAACTGCTCTGTTCTATTCCACCAGTATTTTTATGTACACTCGTGTGTTACACTCATGTACATAAAAATCCAGCTGCCACGTATGTACGTACCGTATATTGTACATTAGACAGACGACGCGACGTACTGCGTTGCAGATGTTGCACGCGGGGTATTACCGCAAAACGTCTTTCGATCGTAATGCCTCCCCCGTACGTGCGCGCGAGGGAGGAGAACAACGCGCGCGACTTTTTTCCCCATAACGTCGTACAACGGGAAGTTCCCGCATTGAATTCGTAATACCCCGTGATGCGTGAAACAGTGTATAGAATTAAATTATATAGGTATTTAACGATAATTCCAACGGTGATCGCGGGATCTGTCAAGCTTTGCCGCGCGATGAAACATTGATTCAGCTGGTAAACAAGCGTGTTGAAATGTTTCCTTTCAACTTCCGTGGGCAATCTGCCGAAATTTTCCATTAAGCGCGTTTGCACAACGCGCGTGTGCACGAAGTTTCCTCCGTTCTAAACACAGAGTTTACCGCGGAGATTGCGTCGGCAAGCTGAATATCCCGTCGAAAAGCACCGGCGCGATTGCCTTTCATTAAAATTGCACACGTTCTTTCTCTCAAACCCGCTGTCGATCTATAGACGTAACGAAACAATCGTCCTAAGCATCCCGCGTCGCGATATCGCATACGTTTGTCCGATCCGCGTTATTTGCAATGCAAATTGCGCGGAAAAATACTCGCTTGTCGTTTATAAATAAAGATAACAAAATTTTGTAACGGAGAACACACGTGTGACGTATTTATATAAGAAATATGCAGTCGCGCGCGTAAATAAGTCGAAATCACGCGAGAATTGCAATTACCTCTCGAATCCCGAGATCGACGGTATTTTCTCGCTTTCCCTCGCTGGCTGATGCACGCGCAAGTCGTTGATTTCCGCCGTCAAGACGGAAGTCGGAGAGCCGCGACGGGGAGATCGATTAATCTCGCTGCATCACAGCGCATCGAATCCCGCTGCCGTGCCGGTTTCTGACGTATGCCGTATCGGACGCGGAATTACTCCTCCACCTCCTCCTCCCCCCTTTTCCCCGATCCGAGCCGCGTTGCCACCGCTGGATCGCGCCGCTCTGAAAAATTGCTTTCCGCTCAACGGGGCGCATCTGGTGGCGGCGCGGAGAGCGACGATTACGACCGTTTATCCCTTCGCTCATCTCCCGACCGCCGACCGCGATCCCGTCTCCCCTCCACCCTCCCCCTCCCGACGATGATATGTCCCGAACATCAATATCGTGATTCTCTAGATCTGAACTGCTTTGATGGAATGCCACCTTGTCTGTATTGTTCTTTTCAGTGCCACCTAAAATCACGCCTTTCAGTTTTGCTCGCGATTTAAACGTAGGGGACCGTACTAGCGTACAGTGCGTAGTCGTGACCGGCGACCTACCACTGACATTCACGTGGCTCAAAGATAACGTCCCGATTGAGACGGTCAGGACGACGTTGCCGTCGTCGCAGGATGCGCCGTCGGGCAGCCGCGGTCGGTCGCCGGCCGGTCCTGGGATGCGGGACACGATGATTAACGGGGGCCCCAAGCTAAGGGGCCCCGCCACCATGACCGCTTCCGGCCCCGGGCATGACGAAGCGTCCTCCTCGTCCTCCCAGAGAAAGAGCATTACCATCGGGATACACGACGCTTTTACCAGCGCCCTGAGCATTAGCACGATCGCACCCGCGCACAATGGCACGTACACCTGTCGCGTGACCAATAGCGCTGCAACCGTCGCTCATTCTGCACTCCTTCACGTCAACGGTAAACGCACACCGTTGGTGTAATTCTACGGCCGTGTTCCGGAATCGGTATATATACTTCGCGCCCGGTTACGAGTTACGAGACAATCACGCGCCGCGGCAACCTTTTTTTCTCTTATCTTTCCTCTTTTCTTCTTTCCTTCCGCCTCTTTTCTAGTCGCGCGTCACGATCGAGAGACGCACCCGCGACGTCTTCCGACGCCAAATACCGCGGCATCGTATTTCGGAACACGGAGCACCCCGGTCGACGCTCATCGGGATGCCAACAACGACGTCAAGAAGGGAGGGGGGGCTCGAGAGACGCGGATGGATTCGCGCCACGTCTTGCGGAATAAGATCGCGTCGACGACGAGAGCGGGTTATCATTGAGATTCGCGAGCCGAGGCGTTGGTCGTGATAGGACCGGACTGGCAATTTTCCAGTTCGTTGGCTGGTACGACGACGATGGAAAGTAACTGATTGATCGGCACGTAGGGAAACACCGGTGCCGCGCTGGCCATCGTTTGTGCCCTCCGCCCCGACGCCCCGCGCCGCGACGATCGATCAATCAGCGCGCGTCCGACCTCGCGCGATGCGTACCGTAATCAATTTTGTTTTACCTGAAGAAAAAAGGGGCACTCTCGGGATAAATCGCTGACGGCTTTGGGGGATGCAATTCTGCAAAGAGGATCTTCGCGGGGCGTGTGTCGTCCGTTCGTTACATCGTCCGCGAAGAGAGAAGCCTCGTCGTTGTTCGCCAACCGTTTGAGCGCCGACCGCATTTCCGGCTCTCGTCCGCGATGATCTTCGATCGCCGATCTCTCCGAGATTTGGAAGATCATCCCGACGTGACCGTTTCTGCTACACGCTAAATCCTAAAACTGCACACTGTACCAACGCGCCGGATCGGTGATCGGTATTCCACCCCAGAGTGTTCGAAAAAGGACTTGGAAAAGAAAAAAAGAATACAATGAAGTCCCATTGGCGCAAGCACCGATTCGGCATGTTGCCAGCTTTTTCTCAGATTACTTTCGATTTTGAAGTTATTCTCTCTTTCTTTCATTCTTTCTCGTCCTGCACGCAGTTTTCTCTTTGCACGCCCATCTGCACGCTTTGATCGAGTTTTCCTGCAACCACTATCGATACCTATGTGTGTTATATGTACTGTATATACAATCTTGGCAATGTCTTTGGCTACCCCTCCCCCCACGTATTAGCGTTATATGAGCGGCCCGGAGTATACTTGTCCAACCTACATTTGTTTCGTTCTTTCAAACGTCGTGATTTTTTTATCAGAAAAAGATCAAGCAACGACAGTAAAAGAATCAGAATATATTTCTGTACCTTAGAGGTAAATATTCGTATCTCCATTGTTGAATTATGAATTCAGAGAAAAACGAGGTTTAAAGTTTTTAAGTAAGAAAATGGTGCACTGAGAAAAAAAATTTGTCAATCCCAAGAAATATTTAGTCCGATACGTTCAACTAAACATTTTAGTTAGTTAACTAAACATTAGTTGAATTAATTAATTCTTGATTAAAGAAACGAAATAAATTATTAAAACAACTAATATTTAGTTAACTAACTAAAATGTTTAGTTGAACGTATCGAACTAAATATTTCTTGGGATTAACAATTTTTTTTCTCAGTGTGTGTTTTTTAGATATAAAATAAAAGTAGCTTGTGATTTATTAAGTTTATAATATATGGTACAACTGCCAATAACACACTGACCAAAATTAAAGGACTATGAAAAATGTTCAATATGACTTTTTCTTAACATTGTATCTTAGGAACGAGTTATAATAGACGTAAGATCCTTTAGCATTATACAATTCAAGCTCCTGGTATATTAAAAAATGTATTAATTCCATTTTGACAAAAACTGGAAATACGATTCTTTGCCTCTAAGGTACAAATTTATTTTAGATAAGTGAAGAAAACACGTTTTTTTTACATAAAAATACAAATAAAATATATTAAATAGTTGGACATTTTTTAGCCGCTTGTATACACGTATTTATTATGGTATCTACTTCTTAGACACAACACACGGACTGTGACATCGAGAGGTTGCGAAAGAGCGCAGGAGCTCTCGCACGCGAGAACGAGCACGAAGCGAGAGAGATTTTTCGTCTCGACGAAAGTCTGAAATCTCGATGTCGCAGCGAGACCGTAAAGTTACCGTACTGGTTTTTCCTATTCGCACAGGTGTATGCATCGTCCAGCATTGGTATTCAAGAGACACGAGTAATGTTTTGACTGAATATATTACATTTGTCTATATTTCTCCTATAGTACTCCACACACATATATATATATACACACGGAAATCGCTGTTAACGACATTTCTGCGATATCCCGTAGGAGACGTATATTTTATACGTTTTTTTTCCACGAATGGCATTATACACTCTGTTACTCATTACTGTGTTGTATGATATCACGTTTTGAGCGTTTTAATGACAAAGTCATCATTTTATTAATGTAGCAAAGAGTTTTATGATAATGTGTTTAAGCTCGAGGTATATCATATATATACTTGTGTAACGTCGTTTTTACCATATATTGTTACGATATGATTATGAAGACTGGTAGTGATATTTGTATCCAAGGGGCATCCGACGCGAGAGCTCTCTGAAATTTTCGTCGAAGAAATATGGTAGATCTGCATGCGTAAATTTCTATCGAGGAGAAAAAATGGAAATCTGGGGATCTGTGTAATCTGGGAAATGGAATCACGGAACGGATCGCGTCGTTTCGTGACGTCAATACACCCAGAGATCTCTCTCGTCCTTAGATCTTTTATTATCCACATTTGAAATTCCTCTATCGGGTAGGGCTCGGTAAGTAAGTCTGCGATACGCAACCGAGACAAAGGAAAAGATAAAGGAAAGGAGCGTACATCTCCGAAGGAGGGAAAATGCGTGTGCAGGTGTCTCGTGCCGGATGGGCGGTCGTTATGGCGCATCTCGCCAGGCCAGGATCCCGCGGTTCGAGCGACAGCGAGGTCCCCCCGTGTGCGCGCGACGCACGTTTTCGCGTGGGAATTTATTGTCGAACGGAGAAGCGGGGCAGATGCGTTTTCGGTCGCCAAGTTTCCACGCACCGCGACATTCGCGCGAAACAATTTATTAATGTTCCCCTCCGTCATTTTGCCTGGGGGAGGGAGGGAGGGAGGGATGCGCGAGAAAGGAGGTGCGGGTCGGGGCTTATTTCCAACTTCGCCCGGTTTCCTCATAAAGACACATCGGCCGACATTAACAGTTATGCTCGCTCGTAAATGTTCATTTCCCCCCAAGCTACACCGCCCGGCGTTATGCTCTCGGCGGGCGCGTTACGTATACGTACGTAACGCTACTATCCCGATATTTATGGCCGTGCCACAATTTTCCGCGCGCGGACCTCGCCACGCACGGTTGCGGTGCGAGGAAACGCGGTCGCGCGCCGCACCTGTCCTTCCCGCACGAGGGGCGGAAAATCACGCGGCGGAATGGATCGGAATAAATGGAGGTCGGAGTTTATCGAGTTTCCGCGATGGTTACCGCCAGGGGATTCTCCTACGCGCGTCCTTGCGGGTCACCGCTATCGAACGGCTGGAAGAATAAACCGACGCGACAATGCGTCAAAGGTATACGCACGAACCGCGTGACTTCGTCCTGCGACTTGGGGCGTCGAGACGTCGTCTAATCGAATTGCGCCGCGACCCGTTAACAGGTAAAATATTAGCCAACGACAAATAAGGGAGGATGAAATGCGGTTGTTATACATATGGTTCCCTCACGGTAACGTTGCATGCGTTATACGGTGTCCCCCTTTTCGCAAAACGCGCGATCAATTGTGCGTGTGCACAAGATACGCGGTATCGCAAAAAGACGCAAAAAAAAAAAAAAACAAATTCTCGATCGATGATCGCGCGCCTAAGGCGCGGCAAAAAAAAAACGTCAGCGCAAGACCGCAAGGGGTGCACTACTCTCCATTATCATGTCACAACGTAACGTTTATAGTTCCGCCGCGGATCTCGCCATTTTTTTTCGGAGACGGTGTGATGGAGGGACAGCGGACACAGCTTATGTGTACGACGAGCCAGGGTGACCAGCCGTTCAACATCACGTGGTTGATGGACGAGAAACCGATTCAGGTCAGACCGAGCGACGGTGGTACATCGGTGTCGTCGGTCCAGACCGTCGCCGCCGCCGCCGCTGCCGCCGCCGCTACCGTCGAGACCAGCAACGGCATACAGATAAGCGACTATCCGCCGTTTTCCAGCATCCTGACGATAAATAGCGTCAGCGCTAGCCACAGCGGCAACTACACGTGCCAGATCAGCAACGTCGCTGGCCTGGCCGAGCACTCGACCAGCCTCTCAGTCGCTGGTTGGTGTCCTGAGAAAAACTGATGTATAGTCGTAAGAAAACTGTGTACATAAAGCGTCCACAAATAAGAAACCTTCCTTCTTCGCTATCTCCCAATCCTTCTCTCTATTTTTCTGTTTGTTTATCCCTCAATCTATCTACGTATCTATCTCTCTCTCTCTCTCTCTCTTTCTCTCTTTCTCTCTCTTTCTTGCTCTCTATTTTTTGTTTTCTCTCTTTCTCTCTCTTTCTCTCTCTTCTCTCGCACCATTGTCCCACTTTTCTTATGTATAGGGGTGTATACACGTGTATGTATACGCATATATGTACATATATGCGTGTACATATATGTTGAACAGGTATACACAGTTCGTATCACAGCGCAGAATTCGAAGGAACGTCGAGCAAGGTTCGGTTTTCTTTTTTTTTTTATTTAATCCGCTGTGTTATCCGGGTTACTCGGACGACTTTTCCGAGCCGTTGATGACATCCCTCGAGAAGGTACGCGCAGCACGAGTCCCCATTCGCCGGATCGTAATCTTATATGTTAGTATCTGATTCCGCCAATTTGAAACACTCTTCGTTTTCTGGAAAAGTTTCTTCTTCGATAGCCGTAAGTTGGATGAATCTTAAAAATCTATTTCACTCTTTCGAAAGAGCAAAGTTTTATCGTGACATTTGTAAAAATCAAGCTGTTTGAAATTGCGTGTATGATGCTCGAAAAGGATTCGCGTTGAGAACCAATCTTTAAATATTGAAAAATGTTTAAATATTTCGACAGGTATGAATCAGGTGTATAGATACATCGAGGGAATATAAATATTTCACGCAACAGTTCATATTTCATGCAATATGATGCTAATTGTGAGCAACACAATAGTCGAATATCATATTTTTTTAAAATTATTCTCACACTTGTTTTAAGAGAGATCCAATTTACATGAGAAAAGAAAAACAAGCAATTGTATTAAAATCTATCGAACTTGGATTAGTCATTTGGATTAATCAGAAAACTAGGAAGGCAATTGATCAGAAAATCCAGCTGCGGATCGATATCTGAAATAGTTTTGAGGATTAATTGTTAATGGGTTTCGCCGGATTTAGTTCCTAGTGGTCTCACACTCGCTGGGCAAGCGATATTTTATTCATTTCCATCCATTTCGACCCAAATTCTATAGAACATCAAAAGATTCGTACATTTCGTATGTATACCCGGCTCCACGTATTACCCCGCAGCCCGTAGCACGTAATGGCGTCTGCTCTCCTAATGCGTATAAAATACGACAAGATTGCTAGGTTTTCGACATCTGAAAGCCATTAAAGATTTTCCAGCGAATGTCGCGCGGCAAAGGAATTTCCTCAAAGCGAAATACGATCCTTTAACCTCAGCAGAGAGGTTATACACGGCGCGTAACAAATTGGAGGACGAATGTGCAAAACTGTAGTTTTTCAAGAATAAACATCAAAGGAGTAAGTAACAATGGTAATTGGGCATTCACATCCATAAAAAAAAAACAAAATTGATGAAATTAATTTCTATAAATTCGAGGTAAAATAATAAATGTGACGGATAAGGTTTTAAATGTCTTGTCTGCAACGTTATGAATCTTTTACAATCAAATTTCTCGCTCCGATTATCCGTATATATTCTTTGAGAGTACTTTGAGAGTCGTATTATAGGGTACATGCCAGACTTTCGTAATATTTGTCAAATGGAACGCTACGTGCTTTCGAGTTCGCTTTGTGTTCATCATGCAACGAGTGTACTATACTGCACTTTTCAGTTTCAAGGTACTACCTTTGCTGCCACGGCGCTTACGATCAGTATATATACGTATGTATATTCATTTCAACGCGATCTTTACGTGTACTGATATTTTTCGTATTATTTCTACTTGATCGCGTTACGTATATCCCGTGCAATTTACGTATTACTGGATGCGTATTACTTATATCCGGTTGCATTCCTTCTATTCCGCCGTACAAGTATCCTGTACTACTATATATTTGGTCGTACTACTTATTCAGCCGTATCGTGTCCGTTGCTACTTTTACGCGCCGACGGACGTACTACACATGTTTGGTTGTACTACTTGCACGCGGCCATGCCAAATACATCCGTTACTACTTACGCGCCAACGTCCTACATATGTCTGGTCGTACTACTTGCACTCGGCCACACCAAAGATGTCCGTTACTACTTACGCTTGGATATGCTTCATATATCTGGTCGTACTACTCACGTAGTTCCGTCTTCACGTTTGAAGCATCGAGTTCGAAGGGAGCAATTCGGCGAAAATACCCATTAATTGTCCTCGTTAATCGCTGAAATGTTTTTTTTTTTAAGCGCATTAAAGACGAGATTGGGACGGCAGAGAAAGAAAAAGGTCGACAAGTCCGAAATCGCATGCAGTCGCGCTCTATCGAAAGCAATATAATACCTGGCATGGTGCCGCCATATCCCGATTTCTTTCGTTTATATCTTCGAGGATAGTAGCTCGATAAAATTTTCATTTGCCGTTTGGAAATCGAGGCTCGACGCAAGCGGGGAATGCTCCGACAGATGGAAATCGTGCAGACGACAGATGTATCGCCGACTTTACTTGTTTGCATGCTCGTCAGATAATTCGGGAGATAATTAGATTTTCACGAGGTATCACGTTATTAGAACGGGAACGGTTCTATTTGCGGAAATTTTAACGAGGGCGATATCTTTCGATAGCGAAGTAATTCAACAATAGCACACCCGGCCTATCCCAGAGTACGTTGATCCGGTGTGCCGGGGTAAGGCCCAATATAAAATGTATTGACTCTTGATATAGTTCCCTATATTCCGTTACGTTTTCCACAAGCAGTATCGCCGAGATCGATGTAGACCTCGAGAAATTGAGATTATATATTTCAGTCTTGAGCGTAGAAGTATTATATCCACGTGTATTCAGATTTTTTTTAAAGGACGTTTCCGCGAATGTTACACTAGGTAGAGTATCGTAGCGAGTTGTGATATTCGAGACGTTGTGCTAATGTAATGCAACAATTGTTTATGACACGGGTGTGCATAAGCATGCATTCGCGTAGTTAACCTGTTTCTGGTTTTATACAATTCCCCCTTTCCCCGGATTTTTCTCGCGAGAGCGACTTGGAATGACGATGGAAGAATGTAAAAGTGATACTCCTCCTTACTTACGTGTCTTTCTATTTTCGTATCATTACGGTACATTGCCACGGTATATCGTTTGCGTTTGTCGTTGTCTGGGAAGCATTTTATATTACATCCGTCTTACCAGCTCTGTTTACTTGGAATGGTGCTTGCGTTGTTACGTTCCTTATGATAATGACTAACTTTGCATTTTTTGCATGATATTACGTTCCATATACTCGTACTATATTATGTGTATTATATTTTCTCGACATATATTTATATAGTTCAATTTATACTAACTACTCTCATGTATTTTAGACGGACAATTTTTCTTTCGTTATTAAAATACCTCTCTTCCCCTTTATATTTTCCCTTTATCGTATATTCTATGATTTACATAGATTATTTAATTAGAGAATCTTTCTCTTTTTTTTTTTATGTAGGTTTAGTACTAATTTTTCTCTCTATCAAAGGATGCATGCTACCTTTTAATTTTTTTTAATCCTAAATTATTATTTCCTTGATATACATTTAACATTGCTTGAATTCTTAATGAAATTAAACGTAGTTAATTGCGGAAAGAACCATTCTCGTTTATTTTATACATAACATATATACATAACATCGTCAATTCAAGTAATTTAGTCGTAGCCTTAATGGATTCCGTAGTTATAACACTATTACAATTTTCAGCAAGTCCGTGTAAGTATATAATAATCTAGTTGAAAGAAAGAGACGCATGCATTATACAATTACTAACACATTAGGAGAACATTAATTTTAGTCATTGCCGTTTGCCGTTGGTATTCGCCACCGTTTATATCGCAGTAAAGTATCGATCCGATATTTGAATATATAGGGAATGACTGTTCAAATAAATAACCTGTCATATCATATATATTTTTAGACTGAACTGATAAAAGATAAAATCGTGGCTGGGCTGTGAAATGAAAATCGATACCATTTGACGGTTTTACATGTTATTATCTTTAGGAAATAACGGGATAACGTGGGGGATAAACCTGCGTATTGCTCTCGATATTCTGCAAATTAAATTAAAAGGAATTTGTAATAAATTTGTAATATAGCAATGATTACACATGTACGTTGTTCTTGATGCTTTTAGCCGTCATGATTGTTCAGTTACAAAAGTGTAGGATCTTCGTAACATGCGCACGAGCGCGCCTAACGCGTTGCAAAT